GATATGAGGCAAGAACGAATTTGAAGCGTACTAAAAACATTGAGTTCTTGTATCAGTATGAAGAAAAAAGGTAGAAAGCGAGCGCTGCATGATGACACCATTTCATGTTATCTGATCACTTACAAACTAACAACATATAAGGATCGCGTGAGAAAGGAAAAAGGTAGTTTTGAATTGATCAGAATAAAGGCACGCATACACAGAACAACAGATGATTGGGCTGGAGCAAAGGTCATGAACCCCAAGGAAACTTATGACCTGTCGGTTGCGCTGGTACGGCAAAGATTAAGGGTCAAGGCCCCGAATAACTTCAGCACCCTGGCATTTTCGTTTCGATAGATAACCGTAAATACCTTGTCAGGGTTAGATTGATGACCTGTACTGATTAGGTGTCTAACGATGGATGATGCTAGCCGTTTGCCTGCTGTTGCTTGTTCGGTTACTTGTTGTGTCATCGGTTTAGCAATTCGCTTCGGAATATGCTCCCCAATCCGTTTACTCAGACAACCATCTGTTTTGCCAATGTAGCTGTCTTCGCAGCTACAAACAAATTGGTACATGCAATGACTTGCAGCGGGGACCGGTTGGTTAGGATTGATTGGAGGCGTCGACAGCTTTCTGGTTGTCCAGATAGGAAAGAGTTTGGCAGCGTTGAATGTATGGCGAATAGCTGTGTTCACTCGTCTTTCAAGTTACGTTGTTGCCACATTGTTTTTGAAGGGTAGCTGTAAATAGACGGGCAATCTGGGCACCATACGTACTCATGGTTTGTTCTCCTTTGGATGACTGTGAAATCTGATGAATACCTCTGGATATCCATTGGCCCATAATGTCTGTGTAGTGAGCGATTATTCCGACTCCAGACAGTCGGCACTGCATGCTCGGATAAATAGCGTCTTGACAAGGTAACATTGTATTGGACCGGCACAACGTTGTTGCGGTTCTCATGCAGGCTAGTTCATGTGATTTTCTTGTAAACAATGTTTTCATTGAGCCATCATTTCGTTTTAACAACGATACACACGGAAAAGCAAGACAATTTTTGTTTTCTAGTTCAGAGGTGAAATGGGCGTTGGGATGTGCGTTGTTGAGCACACAGAGGAGAGACTGAGCGGTCTCTACACTTGGGGCAATCGCCACACTGCAACTGGCTCAACATTAAGCGTGTCGACATCACGCACGGTAACATGATTGACCCGATTCACCAAATCTGCTGTTTAGATAACAGTCACATTTAAACTTTACGTAATCTGAAGACCAGATGTATTGGTCTTAAAACTAACCAAAAGCACAAGAGTTGTTCTGAATTGGTCGGATTATGGGGGCAAGATGCATGATATCCTGAAGGAGAAATCCAAATTTCAGCAGGACAAAAGCGGAACCGCAGTAAAGCAAGTTGAAGAGAGAGTGAACTACTAAAGAAAATCGTTACTCCAGCACTGTATGATATAAGTAACGGTGTAAGCCAATGAGTATATGTACCCCTCAAATGTTCAGACTGCAACAAATTCACAAGGCTAACATACCATTAAGGCCGATACTGTCCATGTGTTACTCCACATATCCCAAATTGGCATGTTGGTTAGTTGGCATACACTAGTGAGGCAAATGATTTCAACCTACACTGTGATTGATGGTGTTCAGCATATGAATACTGCTGACAAGGTTACGTGTTTATGGACCTAGAATTTTTGTCCACCAGCATTCTATTGGAAGAACCAGTGGATTTCTTGTACGAACTTATCACGAATAGGAGAGTAGTCTTGCCAATTCCAATGGAATATCTCAGGGATCTACTGCTCTTATGTAAAGAAAATGTCCACTTATTACTTGAGGAGCAAGCGTATCGACAGGTAGATGGTGTGACTATGGGAAGTCCGCTTGGCCCGGCACTGGCTGACATCATATCTGCGGTCGAATCGTGCTGTGAATCCTACCTAAACCAGATGCGCCTATACATGCGGTATGTGGATGACACCTTAGTGATTGCTCCATGTGTACAGACCGCTCAGTCTCTCCTCTGTGTGCTCAATAACGCACATCCCAACGCCCATTTCACCTCTGAACTAGAAAACAAAAATTGTCTTGCTTTCCTGTGTGCGTCGTTGTTAAGACGAAATGATGGCTCAATGAAAACATTGTTTACAAGAAAATCACATGAACTGGGCTGTGTGAGAACCGCAACAGGTTCGGGCCGGTCTAATACAATGTTACCTTGTCAAGACAATGTTTATTAGAGCATGCAGTGCCGACTGTCTGGAGTCGGAATAATCGCTCACTACACAGACATTATGGGCCAATAGATATCCAGAGGTATTCATCAGATTTCACAGTCAGATTTCACAGATTTCAGATTTCACAGTGCGTTCGATTCAGTCGATCGATCGATTCTGTTCGAAATACTTGCTCGGAAAGGTGTTCCCACGAAATATGTGAACATCCTTCGTGCTCTATACTCGAACACTACAGGCCGCGTCAGGGTCTATGGTGCCCTATCGGATAGCTTTTCGACTACAAGTGGCGTTCGACAGGGTTGCCCGATTTCCCCGTTTTTGTTCAATTTCGTCGTGGATTCTATCATGGAGTGTTCCCTTGCGGAATCTCACGATGTAGGTGTTGAAGTGCTGCCTGGTGAACGGTTAGTTGATCTAGATTATGCGGACGATATCGTCTTGCTTTTCGATAATGTTGAGGCGGCACAATCAACCCTGAATAGCCTATCCAGAGTGGTCCCATTATTTGGCATACACTTCGCACCTTCAAAGTGCAAAGTGTTGCTGCAGGACCACCAGTCACTCGATGACCCCTTGACGCTTGCTAACGAGAAACTCGATGTGGTTGATCAATTCACTTATCTTGGCAGCTGCATCAGCAATGATGGGCGCATAGAAACTGACGTTAGCTCACGCATTGCAAAGGCCAGAGCTGCCTTCTTGAACCTGCGTCATCTTTGGCGACAGAAGGGAGTTTCCCTCCGTCTGAAAGGCCGTGTATACAAGGCCACAGTGAGGGCCGTTCTGCTGTATGGTAGTGAAACTTGGCCCCTTCGGTCTGAAGAGCTGAGGCGCCTTCAAGTCTTTGATCATCGTTGTTTGCGAAGCATTGCTGGTGTCGGATGGCACCAGCGTGTCCGCAACGCTGATGTGCGTAGGCGAGTACTAGGTGGTGATAATCATGCTAGCTCCCTAGAACAACAGATAGCACTGAATAAGTTGCGTTGGCTCGGGCACGTGCTACGCATGCCTGGTCACCGCTTACCTAAGAGGGCCTTGTTCAGTCTACCAGGTGTAGGATGGCGCAAGGCTCGAGGTGGACAGAAGTTGACTTGGCAGCGGGAAATGAAGTCACTGACGACCAGACTGGGTGCCGTTGGTCCGTCTCGCCTTCCGGGTTGGAGTAGACGTGACTCATCTTGTGCTTGGCTCGAGACTTTACAGGACATGGCTCGCAACCGACACCAGTGGCGCGTCTGCTGCCGTCTCCTAATCGGATTGTCTGTTTAAAGTGTGTTTGGTGCTGAGTTATCTGCAGAGTAATGGCTGATTATGACGCGTGGCAGTGAAAGTCGCAAGGAATCTGTCTCGCCGATGCCGCCTTATCTTTGCACGATAGCCAGCTGTTTGTGACGGAATGTTGTCTACACAAGGTGTAGGCGCCTTGACCCTGAATGTTTGCTTAGGGCATTAAGGTTTTCAGGTAAGTCCCCCTTCTCTCCCTCTTCTTATTCTTTATTTCATAGGTCCTCATGGTTGTATGGCAGCGAAGCATCAGTTCAAATGGCTGATGTACTGCTGTTGATGATGATGATGACAGTCATCCAAAGGAGAACAAACCATGAGTACGTATGGTGCCCAGATTGCCCGTCTATTTACAGCTACCCTTCAAAAACAATGTGGCAACAACGTAACTTGAAAGACGAGTGAACACAGCTATTCGCCATACATTCAACGCTGCCAAACTCTTTCCTATCTGGACAACCAGAAAGCTGTCGACGCCTCCAATCAATCCTAACCAACCGGTCCCCGCTGCAAGTCATTGCATGTACCAATTTGTTTGTAGCTGCGAAGACAGCTACATTGGCAAAACAGATGGTTGTCTGAGTAAACGGATTGGGGAGCATATTCCGAAGCGAATTGCTAAACCGATGACACAACAAGTAACCGAACAAGCAACAGCAGGCAAACGGCTAGCATCATCCATCGTTAGACACCTAATCAGTACAGGTCATCAATCTAACCCTGACAAGGTATTTACGGTTATCTACCCAAACGAAAACGCCAGGGTGCTGAAGTTATTCGGGGCCTTGACCCTTAATCTTTTCTGTCCTACTCTCTGTGTACCAACGCAACCGACAGGTCATAAGTTTCCTTGGGGTTCATGACCTTTGCCCCAGCCCAATCATCTGTTGTTCTGTGTATGCGTGCCTTTTTTCTGGTCAATTCAAAACTACCTTTTTCTTCTCTCACGCGATCCTTATATGTTGTTAGTTTGTAAGTGATCAGATAAAATGTAATGGTGCCAGCTTGCTGTGCTCGTGTTCGTATTGTTTTGTTCGAATCTTCAGGCGCTTAAAAAGCCGAAATGATGGTCAATAATATACCTACATTCTGATTGACTCCAGTGCAATTCTTCGGAAAACTGATGTTTTCCCAACAGATGGGTGCGACATAATTGTGGTTTTGTCTCAGTAATGCGCCTGTGTCGCACCAAAACCTTCCCGCCGCACGACCACTACTAATGATGCGCTAGCTAGGGACAATGTGAGGCCACTCGAACCTACACAGAGTCGAGTCAATGACCTCTGGGTTACAAGGCGCAGGCAGATAATCAGCTGGCTTGAAAGCAGGAGCTGCATGATATATGTTATGTAGCACAAGGAGAAGATATTTTCAAGTCGTAACCGGGCTAACAGGAGCAATAATTCCAAGCTCCTGAATATGAAAGCCAGAGAAATGTATAGCGAGGTGCGTACAAGAATTGAACATAGCAAACCAACAAACCTTCGAGGAGAGGAGGTTCATTTTCGTAGTCGTCATACGTCTCGTTGGGGGTTCGTGGTCCAGGAGTGAACAGATTAGAAGAGAAAGTTTGCGGGGAAGTTGCGTTGCCGGGTTCATAGGGGAACTGCCTGAACTGCCTGCACAGAGAAAAACATGAACAACACGAACACGAGAAAAATTAGGGCAAGCATAGAATTAAAAAGTCTGTAACAGAACGCGGTGAGTAATCGAAGTGCAAACAGCTACTATAATGCCTGCATAAGGATGCGAAAACCAAAAAGGATTATCCAAGTGAGAATAAGGTTCCGTTCTGTTCTGGTGTTCATCCATGCTTCAAAGAGCCACAGGCGGTGGATCCATTTGTTGTGAATTGCAAATCGGCGACGGTGGGAAACAGAAGAAATGCGAAGTGCATCAAAGAGGACGGTTGAAAAGAAACCGATTAACAACGGCATGCGTAAAGTGCTAAAAAGGTATCAACAGTAAGCAGGTACGCGGTGTGGACGCTTCGTTGCCACGCAATCACCACTAGTCGCGCGTGGGGGGAAAACGCTGTCTGTTGACCGGCTCCCTAGGCAGCTGCGAACCCGCGACCTTTCATGTTGCAAGGCAGACACCTTATCCTTTGGGATACGGACTGGCTAAGGGAAAAATGCAACTATGGAATGCGAGGGTACCAACGAGACTCCGGTTGAGTACTTTTCGAACTGTTGCCAACTGGTTGTCTGGGACCTGGAAAGTCCATCTAACCAGCCGTGACAGCGATTAATAACGCAAATCCGGATAGTAGATCGGTAGGGATGTGAAGCAAATAATACAGCCAACACAGGCGATAGAGATTCAACAGACAAGGTGTAAGTTCGTATTTTCTTACTAAACAATCGTAGGAGCCCAAAACCATGAACTCGATGGTCAAACCAGTTATGAACAGTTTCGCAAGAACTATTGGCAAAAGATGAACACGTGTTGTTCGTGTCTCTAATGCATCGAGTAACACAGACAGCTTTGCATGGTGTCAATTCTGGTCTCATCAGCAAGCCGACATCCAGTTGTCCACGTACATACGTCTTCTGGCATGCGCAATACGTGATCGAGCATGCGGTGTCGGAGAATAAGGTTTTGGAGGCATGGGCCGTTTGCTCCGAACACTCGGTCTGGGATTTCTGTGTAGTCTGCATGATGTTGCCAACACATGCGAGCGGTTCTACGAAGAGAACAATTGTCAAAAAATTACAATCGTCTCATGTCTTCCAAGCGAATAGGCTTGGTTCACACAACCGTACAAGAGTACCGCATGGACAGAGAAAATGTATATCGCGATGACGCCATAAATGTCCCAGTCTGAGGAATGCAAGGCGGACCCTTCCGATTCGTTGTAAGACCTTATCTCCAATACTGCCACCAGCTGTGATATATCTCCCTAGGTAAGTGAAGCAGGGGAGTTGTCCTAGGACGTTACCATCAATGGTGAGGGCATGCGCAGGCATCTGCCAATCCCGGAGTATTATTTTATATTTGCCAGGGGTGAAAAACAGGACACACTTAGACACCTCCATCGGTATGTTGTCTACACAAGGTGTAGGCGCCTTGACCCTGAATATTTGCTTAGAGCATTAAGGTTTTCAGGTAAGTCCCCCTTCTCTCCCTCTTCTTATTCTTTATTTCATAGGTCCTCATGGTTGTATGGCAGCGAAGCATCAGTTCAAATGGCTGATGTACTGCTGCTGATGATGAAGACCTCCATCGCTAAACGGTTCAAAGCACCCTGGACGGCTTGTGGATCGTTTCCAATCAAAGCGATATCACCAGCGCAGTCTAAGTTCGCGACTCTGTTATCTGGAAGAAGCTCAATACCATTGTTTTGGACGCCTTTCAATGTTCGTTGGACAGCTTCCATGGTAAAATTGAAGAGGAAAGATGAAATGGGGCAAATATGGCAAACGCCGCAAACGAAGAGGAAGGCCTGTCGTAGGCTCTGACCTTGCCCGTGACCGTAAAGTTCATTCAGGATGGTTACAAACTTGTCGGGTACATCATTCCTTAGTAGAGTTCCACAACGCATATCTATCAACTGAATCAAATGCCGCTCGGATGTCCAAGAACACCACGACTGTTGGCCGTTGTTGGACGTGACGGTTTTCAAAAGTTAACGGTGTGTGAACATTTGGTCGATGCAACTTCGGCGTGGACGTAGGTATAATCGAACGGATTAGCTATTCAGAATGAGCGGCATCTGTTGTGATAAAGAAAGGAAACGGTAAGGTCCGTATCTGCGATGATTTCTCAACAGGCCTAAATGCTATGTTAGATACGTATCAGTACCTATTGCCTGTAGCGGAAGACTTGTTCACCAAAGTCAATGGTGCCAAGTGCTAAGCATGTTTGCAAGTTCCAGTTGCCAGTAGGTGCAGAACACTGCTAACGGTACATACACATCTCAGACTTCTCCATTAAAATAGGCTACCTGTTGGAATGAAAACAATACCGACTGATTTCCAACGAGTCATGGACATCATGCTGAAGGAGATTCCCAATATCGCAGTCTACTTGGACGACGCTTTGATTATGAGCGCATGCCCGCAAGACTTGAGGCACACACTGGGATTAGTGCTTTCATGTATGAAAGGAGTTAGATTTCGAGTAGGGGCTGAGAAATGGGAATTCATTTTAGATAGTGTCAAATTCCTCCAAAGTATCATGGACCAACATGACCTGCGACCAGATCCCGCAAATATCGTGGCTAACAAAGAGATGGAGCCTCTGAAAGATGACGCAAAGCTGCGCTCGTTCCATGGTCTCGTGAATTATTACACTTTTCTTACCAAGCTTTCGTAAGACAAGAGGTCCGCAGAACTAACTGCTGATGAAAGACAACGTTTGGCGTTGGACAAGGGAATGCCAGTAGTACTTGGACGCAGTTAAAGCAGCACTCACTTCTGATCTGCTCTTGACTCATTTCAATCCGAATTTGGAAACTTTCCTTACTTCAGAGGCACCCAATCATGGCATTGGAGTCGTCATTTCCCGCATTTTACGAACGAATGCTATCGCGCGCGCAGTATGGTCACTAAGAGCGGCTGAAAAGAACTATAGTCAGACTGAAAAGGAAGTACTCGCGATCGTTTTGGTCACGAAACGGTCCAACAAGATGCTCTATGGCAGACATTCCACGCTTCTGACTGGCTATCAACCATTGCTGTCGATATTCGGCTCAAAGAAGGAATTCTCGTTTTTACTGCAAATCGGCTACAAAGATGGGCAAGCATACTTCTGGCGTATAATTTCAGTATATAACATGGAGCTACATAAAAGATCGGACAAGCAGATGCCCTGTCTCGTCTTATTAATTCAGACCCAAAGTAAAACGATGACTGCGAGATTGCAGCCATCAGATTCGAGTCAGAATTTCAGCGAATTCTGACAGATAATGTAAGAAGATTACCAATGACAACTGACCCAAGTCGTGCGGAGAGTTTCCGAGACAGAACCCTGGTGAAAACGATGCATTACGTGCAAACACATTGGTCAAACGGTCATATCCCTGCTGATTTGCGGCTTTTCTTCAATCGACGTGGGGTCACTGTCCGTTTTGGATAAGTGGAGACAAGGTGGTGGTGCCAAATTGAATGAACAAGTCTTAGAGCAGTGTCATATAGGACATCCAGGTACCAATCGTATGAAAGCCCTTGTATGCAGTTTTGTTTACTGGCCCGAATTGGATTCACAAAATGAAAATTTTTGCACGAAATGTGAGTCTTGCCAACATGCGGCGGAGACCCCTCCCAAGTGGTCGTGGCGACGTTGACCTAAAGCAATGGCAGCGAATCCACGTAGACTATGCAGGACAAATCGCCGGTCAATCCTATCTCGTTTTGGTGGACTTCCTCCCCAAGTGGCTCGATGTGATCACGATGCACAATCCGAATGCCCAGCACACGATCAACGAACTGGATAAGCTGTTCCAGAGATGATAGTGACACAACAGAACACAATTCATTTCAACTTCCTTCCGCTATTGGTGCAAATAGAAAGGAATCCAGCAGATGTTCGCACCGCCGTCTCATCTACAATCAAACGGATAGGCGGAACGGTTCGTGGAAACTTTTAAACGTGCTCTCTGTAAGGCGGGAAAAAACAAGGTCCCAAAGGATGCGATACGATCTTTCCTGTGCATGTATCGGAATACGCCGAATCCAAAATCCCCAAATGGGAAATACCCTGCCGGTTTTGTTTGGACGAAAAAATAGGGTAATGTTTGATAACTTAGTACGAAACAAGAAGGAAAAGCACGGCGGTTGTCATGTCGAGGAAAATCTGACGAAGACAGACTGTCATTTCAAGTTTGGTGACATGGTGTACACCCGATATTTCCGAGGACCGAGGAGGTGGTCGACAGGAAGGGTGATTGGCAGAAATGGTCAAGTCATCCACGACCTAATGGTTGGAAATGAGAAATGGGTCAGGCATGCCAATCAGCAGTGGCTGAATCACAGCAACACTCAAAGTCCTAAGGAGCCACCGTCCTTGCTGTGTGAGATACTGTTAGACACATTTGGTATGGAAGAGAGTGGCGAGCGGATAAGTGGATCGCATCCAAAACTGCAAGCACCGGACGGCACACAACCAAGGCCGGCCAGAATGAGAAGACAAGCACAATCGCTGCAGATCGATCCCAAGGCAAAGAGATATGAACAAATGAGGTAAGCATGAAAGTCAAGCAGCTTCAATTACAGAAGGTGATGGAGGAGCAAAACGGCTGAATGCTGAGGTGCACTTTAGCGACGCAAAGTAAGGTGGAGTTAGGCTTGCCGTCAAGTCGGTGAACTCAGCGAAGTCGCCCGCGTAGATGGCGGTACCGGAAATCCAATGAGATGTATGGGCGTTGTGTGAGACGCGCCGAAATTTCCGAGACACGACACGTGAAAAAAGTTACGGACATGAAATTGCCGAACTGCCGGAGAGGTCAAAGCGTGAGAACTGTGTCAATGACACCACGGGCGTGAGCGACTAGGGATTGACCAGGAAGTCGAACAGCAAAAACCGGCCAAATCTGGCATACGAGGCAGAAGATTATGACTAAAATGTCAGTGTGATGGTGCTCGCCTGATGTATAAATAGAAGCATGCATAATTCGAAT